GGGGGCATAAAAACACCTACACTTAAAGAAATAAAACCAGTTTACAGTAACAGTCATGTGAAAATGGTGGCATGCTTAGTTTCTTCGTGTTGCGCACTAGACAAGTGCTTCGTTCCGTTGTCAGATACATGTTTTATTGAGAATTTCCATCTTTCTGTTGGGATATGGTTTATCACACAGCAAAGAGTGGTCTTGATATACAGTGTCGAAACAGCCATCCTCCTAAATCAAAGACAGATCGTGAGGAAACGGGTGTTATACATTTAGGATATGTTTTTTTTCTTATAGCAAGGTAAGAGTTCGAGAAGATGTGGTCTGTCGGTCAGGATGTCAGCACTCCCTTCGATGACGCTGAACTGAAGGAGGGAGAGAAAAAAAGAATGGAACGATGAAGCGAATGAGGGAGCGTCGCACAGAGTGAGTGAAATCAGTTGTTCTGGGTGGAAACACTCCTTCGATGAAGCTAAACTGGGGAAAGGGTGGGGGAGGAAGGGAGGTAAAAAAATAGAACAGTGGAGTGAATGAGGGAGAGACAGACTGAGTGAGTGAAATCAATCGTTCAGAAAGTAAACACTTCCTTCTATGAGGCGGAACTGAGGGGGTTGGGGGGGGGGGTGGAGGAGGAAGGGAGGTTAAAAAAAAAAAGAATGGAACAGTGCAGTGAATGAGGGAGAGAGGGACTGAGTGAGGGAAATCACACATTTGAAAGGTTTGTAGGAGGGTTGGGAACAATCTGGAACCTGCCAGTGACCAACTTACCCGAAGGGAATTGCGAGTCTGCCTGAGGGAAGGCACTGCGCTCTCCTGTAGAAGACTTGCCACTCACTCGCGTTTCTGGAGGGCCGTTCAGCACCACGTTCTCGGAACTGAGAGAGGAGGAGTGGGTTTCTCCTGAACGTGAAGGCGTGAGTGACATCTGACCTCCGTGTGCCAGACGCACGTGCACTTCGTTGAGTTCGCGCTGAAGGCGGACGGATGAGTCTTGCAGCGTGTTCATGGTGTTTCTTAGGGTGTGGGGAAAGAGTGGTGGTGATGTAGTATTGTAGTTGAAGGGGGGGGGTAATGGGGAGCAGGAGAAGAAGCAGCCGTTGAAGAAAGAGGAGGAGGAGGAGAAGGAGGAAGAGGAGGAGGAGGGGTGTGGGAGAAGGAGAAGGGGAGTACGAGGGGGGAAGAGGAGGAAGAGAAGGATGAAGAAAAGGAGGATGAGGAAGATAAAAATAGTCAGGAAACCAGCAAAGTGATCGTCTACTGCCCCCACCCCCGCCCACCCCCATCCCCGCCCCTTTTCGAAATGATGGACATATAATTTTGCCAGTTTAAAATGTGAACATTTAAATACACAATGTACGACTCTCTCATTTGAGCGCTGCTTTTCAAAGGCGGTAATGATGATGGCCCAGTACAAATAATTTGAGGGGTTGGGTGGGGGAAGTTACAAAATTAGTGGTCCCCCAGCATAATGCTGGGCCATTTTGCAGATCACTTTTGTTCTTATCCCTGTTTTTGTGTTCTTTAACTTGGGTTGTTTGGGGATTTTAAACAAATTGCAAGCCTAGTAATTCTTCGATGAAAGATTGGACTTTAATTAAAGCAAATGCCTTGACTCTTTGAGGACACACATTCTGGTCATTCGAAAACGCTTGGAGACGCGCTCTTTTGAAGTACAAGTATAATCTCTTTATTCATGCAGCTTTTCCAACTCTTTTTTTTCTCTGTCTAAAACTTTGAGAGGCAAACAACATAATGCATACTATGAAAATGTGAAGCATCGAGGTGAAATCAGGCGCTCGTAAAAATAATGAAATCGAAGGAAACGATATTCTTACGCCGGTTTGGCGACTCAACATCCTTTATGTCCATTTATAAACACATTGCTCTGTGGATCGTATAGAAAAAACCATTGAATAAAGACACAAATACAATTCATTTCCAATTTTCAACAACTCTCAAGCTGTGAAAGCCATCAAACTTTGGCTGACATTTTCTCCCTAATATTATTTCTGAAACTAGGCGACCCCCACCTACTTCAATCGAAAATATCTCGACTTCTATTCAAGACAGAAGGGCGTTGTTTATTTTTTCATCCACAGCAAGGCAAATGAATAGGATTTGAGCGTATACTAATAACCCCATAGGCCAAAAAATTTACGTGCGCCTGATTCCACCGTGTCGAGACACAAATGCAAATTGGTGTTTCTGATTTTTGCATGGTGATTCCAAATGTGACACAACATCGTCTTGGGTCTACAACTGATCGGGCATATCGCTACCTCTGAATTACAAAGTTCTATCTGACATTTGCTTTAGCCGTTTCGAGTTACTTAGACCATGACGTCAGTAATCAAAGGTTCTATCATTCTACTGTATTTAAATCGTAAGGGTTATTCGGATTCGATATCAAGATATTCAAAGAACTGCACTGGAAATAGCTTGACATGTTATAAAACTCGGAATTTTTTACGTAAAATTTCTCAAAACTAGGTACTGAGCAGATAGAGCTTTGTAATTTTGAGGTAGTGGTATTATGTGCACGCTACGTCCTTAAAAAGAGTTGAGTCTTCTAGTTGAATGCTCTCTTACTTTTGTTGCTCCACTTGTTCCTTGTGCTCATTCAACACAAGTCTGAGCTGCTCTACATCCGAGGTGAGCCTCTCTATCTTTGCATCCAGTCGGTTCTGCATGTCGGCGACTTCGTAAGTCTGGGGGAAAAAATGAATCCTCGATTCATTGGACGTATGCATGACACAGTAAATGAAAGAACTGGGAAAATACACACAAACACACACACATACACACACACATACATACACTCATACACACACACACACGCACACACACACACACACACACACACACACACACACACACACACACACACACACACACTCACAGACATACACACCCACACACACACACACAAGATTGAATAAATGCTCGAATGAATTAATAAATGCACGGATATACGGGTGGGTAACCGAATGGGTTAAATGCTACATTGAATTATGTAATTTTTTTCAACACAAAAAGAAAATATGAATAAATGAATGAATGAATGAATGAATGAATTAATTAATTAATTAATTAATTACAAAAGTAATTACATATAGAGAGTTGAATTGAATGGATGGATGATTGACTTATTTTAAAAGTCTACAACCTGTATAGTTAGAAATATCGCTCAAATAGTTTTACTAAGAATTTGAAAATGTGATTGCTCATACAGGAGTTGATAAATATCTGTGAGACGAATGGTCAGAAAAGTACAAACTATAAGTTGTTAAGAGTTGTTGACAGTTAAAAGTTCAAAATAGCAACAAAAAAGCCCTAAGTGACAACCTTATTTTGGACGAACGGAAGAGCTCAAGGAACTGAACTTGGTTACAAAACAAAATAAAAGGGTCCACTGAAATATTATGAAGTTGTTTTGGGGTTGTTGTGTTTTGTTGTGTGTTTTGTGTGTTTTGTTAAGGTTTGTTTTGGTTTGGTTTGCTGTTGTGTTTTTTTGGGGGGTGCTTGTTTTTTTTTGTTCAGGTTTGTTTGGTTTTGTTTGGGGTTTTTTAAAGGGGGTGGTGTAAACATTATAATACCAATCAAGATTGTCTTGAAATGGGTGCACAGTTAAGAGAACATAAATCATCCTTAGCTCTCCTCCTGCTTTTTTCTGGCCTGCATTACTCTCTTGTAACACCACTATCCTTTAGCACTTATATAAGGCTCTATTTGTATCGCAAGCAAGAGCAGCAAAACTCTCACTCATTAAAACTCAACTAAACTAGACAACATGGAAAGAATACCTTCATCTCTAGCTTCTTGGAGTCGGACAAAACTGCGTCCAGCGACACCTTCAGACTGAAGGTATCATTGAGGACGGCGCTGCGGTAGTCCTTCAGTTTGTGCATCTCTTTCTTCAGGGACTCCACGTCCCTCTTCAGCAGAAGCCACTCCGCTTTCAGGTCTCCTACACTGTCGGAGTAGTAAAGATAATGATCATTGTGTTCACGCCAATCAGACTCAGACATACAAAGAAAATTCAGCAAAATGATTTTGTATTTAATCCAACCTGTTGCTCTAAGGCCCACCTGTCCATGACAGTCATGGGTACAACTGAACAACCACTTCCTACTACTTGCCCCACCCCACTCCCACCCCCACCCTCACGTATTGTATATCATGATGACACTGTCCAACAAGACGTTCACCAAAGACATAAACGTTTTTTCCTCAACAATGGGTGGCCGTTTTAGATCATGTCTACCGTATTTTCAAAACTTTTTCCGTGCAATCTTTTAAAATACAAAGTCAACTGAACAATATTTAACTAAAACATTATGAAAACCTTCATACTGCAGGGTGCGGGAGCAAAAAAACAAAAGGAAGTTTGGCGTGTTACGTGAAACCGCACACACTTCAGAAATATATCAAAATAGGATACATAATTAGAGTGGAGTAATTGTTTTCCTTTATGTGAAACAGAATTTTTTAAATGTCAAGCTTTATAGAAAAATAAAATCAAAATATCCACTGCATGTCGGCTTTTGAAAGGGGGGGGAGGGGGGTTCTGGTGCCCCTTTTCAAGATCGGTTCGGTTTGGTCTTCGAGGCTAGCCACGGAGTGAGAAAAACTACCATCGTGGCACAAACCGAACAAAACCAACAATGACCTTCAAGAACAAACGTGTTTTTTTGTGTTTTTTTCAAGGCCGCAAGTAAGACGATCGCTTTAAGACATTGGTCCATTTATAGTGTGCACTAAAGCCGACAGAAACCGAACCGAACCGAACCGATCTTCCAACCGGCACCGCTGTCTGAATATTATTAATGACACTGACACAGTTCTTCTCAAGGTTTGAATCCAGGTAAAAATTGTGTCCTGTGTAAATGAAAGGAGGAAACCTAGCTTTCTATGGAGTGGGGATGGGGATAAAATATTGTTAAACATAACTACAACCTCCGTCTCCTCCTCCTCTTCATCACTCGCTCGACACCCACCTGTTTGTGAGCCTATGACCCATCATCACTCACTCATCACCCACCTGTTTGTGAGCCTATGACCCATCAGCACTCATCATCCACCTGTTTGTGAGGCTATGACCCATCATCAACATTCGACACTTACCTTTTAGTGAGCCTATAACCCGTCATCACTCACTCGACACCTACTTGTTTGTGAGCCTATGACCCATCATCACTCAACACCCACCTGTTTGTGAGCCTATGACCCATCGTCACTCATCACCCACCTGTTTGTGAGCCTATGACTCATCATCACTCACTCAACACCCACCTGTTTGTGAGCCTATGACCCATCATCACTCGACATCCACCTGTTAGTGAGCCTAGGACCCAATCACTCACTCGACACCCATCTGTTTTATAAACCCTCTTTTGATGAAAACATTACACGCCCATCTTGAATAGAAGTTGAGATATTTCCGACTGAAGGAGTTGGGGGCCACATGGTTTCAGGGGTAAAATTATCGAAAAAGATGGCCGCCAGAGCTTGGGGATTTCACTCACTCGAAACTCACCTGTTTGTGAGCCTATAACGCTATCACTCACTCGACACTCACCTGTTTTTCAGCATGCTTGCAATGTCTGCGTTGACGCCCTGCTGCTGGGGCAAGCTGTCGTGCCTGGGCCGGTTCTTGCTGAGGCGACTGTTGGGTAGTTTGGTCTGCAGGCTGTACAGTGACCGCTCCAGGCGATCTACTCGTCTGTCGGGAGAATAAAATTATGTGTCATGACGCGGTAGAATCAGGCACTCGTCAATTTTTGGGGCATCTGGGGTTATTGATATCATCTTAAAGCTTGTTTATTCGACCATCTTTTGATGAAAACATTGCACGCCTATCTTGAATAGAAGTTAAGATATTTCCGATGGAAGGAGTTGTGGGTCGACTGGTTTCAGAGGTAAATTTAGCGAAAAAAGGCCGCCAAAGTTTGGTGATTCCAAAGTTTGAGAGTCCTTGGAAACTTAAAATTTTCATTTGTTGTGCCTTTAATCAATGTTTTTCAGTAAAAATCAACACAAAAAATATATTTGAATGGACATTACATGTGATGAGCCAAAAAGCAAACATTAGAAGAAAAAAAGTCAAACTGGAGGAAAAATGCCGATATCTTTGATTTCATTATTTTGGCAACGCCTGGTTTCACCATGATGCCTCACAAATATCTCGTTCATACCTAGATGGAACAGAGAAGAAAATTGGGGTGGGGTGGGAGGAGCATAGATTTTTTCATATAGATCATATAAACAGAACGATGAGAATGCAATTTTAACGGTTTCAACTCGTATCAGAGGCAGGGGAGCTTGGAGGGGTTGGGGGGGGGGGGCACAGAAAGCATAATACTGTAATAGAGGGGGACAAACACGAGGGGGAAAAGAATTTGGGTGGAGTGTGGGGACTTAAAGAAACGAAATTTTTTTTTTAAACACCTGAAAGGAAGGAAAAAAGATAAAGACAGAAAGGCAGAATCAAATAAACAATCAAAGTGAGAACTCAGAACAAGGCAAAGAAAGAAAAAGAAAAAGAAATAGACAAGGAGAAAGCGAGCGTTGTTAGTTTGACTCTGACCTAGTGACCGACTGTAAGTCTGTCTTCACTTTGGAGGTTCCCGTGTATAGCTTCATCTGCACCAACTCCTCGTCCATCATGTCTATCTGCTTCAGAAGCATCTGTTTCTCCAAGGAAAACGACGAGTTACGGATGTTGCTCAACTCCTGGATCATGTAGGATTTCAGCTCAGCAACCTGTGCCAATGATTGAAGGAGAAAATGAGTGTGTGTATAAGGAAGGAAGGAAGGAAGGAAGGAAGGAAGGAAGGAAGGAAGGAAGGAAGGAAGGAAAGAAGAAGTAAGAAAGAGAAAGGTAAGAGAAGAAGAATGAAATGAAGAGCGAGTGGCTTAGTAGTTAAGCTCTCAGACTTGCAACCGTAAGGTCGTGAGTTAGAATCCCGTCAGGGGCCGGCGTTGTGTCCTTGGGAATGGCACTTTACACGTATTTTCCTCACTTCACCCAGGTGAGAATGGGTATCCAGCTATAGACAGTGAAAGATCTTTTCAGTTTGTTAGTGTTTGAGCGCTTAATAAGTTGCTTGCACTATTTGCTTCCCTGGAAGCTGAGAATGTTTCTGAGTGTTCTGTATTCTGCAGGGGTAATAAAATACTGTAGTGTGTAAAGCGAATAGAACTTGCTGTTGAGCGGAAATGTACGCTATACAAAGGCTGTTTATTATTATTATTTTTATCATTATTACTATTATTATTACCATCTTCATCATCAGGATGACCCACCATGCAGAGCTAAGTACCAGCACCTGGAAGATGTGTATTCTGGCCACTCCAATAAGCAGGAACAAACTATCACATGTCGCTGGGACCAGGTTGAGCTAGCGAGACTGTGGTCGGACCATCATTGGAGCTTGAGATGGCATAAGAACTTTGTAAAGGAAGAGCTCAGCCCACGTTGCCGAAGATGCAGCCATGAAAAGGAGGTCAAACATATGTTTGAATGTCCAGGAACAATGGCAATTCGAAAGGAGTTATTTTTACAAGCGGAGGTGCCTTAAGTATAGTGACAATGGAGCAGAAAAAGAGCCTCGCTCTCGCTTGAAGATTTCTTTGTGAAGTCCACCATGCCCATTAAGGAAGCAAAAAAATCATCATTATCCTTTTTATTGTTATTATTATCATTATTAGTATTATCATTTAGAGAGAAAGGGTTACAAATGTTGTTCTGCTCCTAAATAATGGAGGGTTTGAGCCTAGCAATGTATGCCAGTGGTTGGAGGTGACGGGTATATAATATACACATACAGGCGTGTGTGATGGGAAAAGTTAAGATCTTCTGTTCCAGTTGTAGCTCTTAGTAGTGGTGATGCTGCTGATACCGTTGCTGTTGGTGATGGTGGTGGTTGTGGTTGTGGCTAGTGGTGCTGTGTTTATTGTTGTTGTTGTTGTTGTTGTTGTTGCTGTTGTTGTTGTTGTTGTTGTTTGTTGTTGTTGTTGTTGAATGGACAAGGAAGGGGAATTTATTTAATGGTATTAGTAACTTTCTGACACTCCCACCCCCACCCCCTTGAAGCAAATGAGACCATTCAGGGAACAGGCTGCTTCGACCTTGAATGTCAAAGCCAACCTGAGTTGAGAGGCACACAACGTCCTTCTGACAGACGAGTATTTAAAAAAACTGCGCATACACTAATCGAACCCATGCCTTCTACGTGTAACGGCGAAGTGCTCTTAGCGTTACACTACCGACGCCCGAAGAAGCGAGAGTGGGAGGAAGAAGGGGAAGAGGGCGTTAAAGGGCAAGGTGGCAAGGTGGCAATATGACAGAGAAAAAGAGAAAGACAAAGGAGTGGGTGAGGGAGGGAGGGAGTGGGTGAGTGAGTGAGTGAGTGAGTGAGTGAGTGAGTGAGTGAGTGAGTGAGTGAGTG